TGAACAATGTGAATTGTATTATTTTATCAATTACCCTCAGTGCCATCAGGCTCAGCCTGCTCCTCTCGCTGCTTCTGCTTGAATTTCATGTTGCCATGATGCATCACAGCACCAGTCAGCTTGTAGATGCCGACTTTCTCTTCAGCATTGAAGCCCAAGATGTCAATAGCAGTCTGTAATGACAATGAAGTCAAATTATTAGTGTGTGAAAGTTTTCCTCCAGTTGTATTATTCATACTATCTGTTGAACTGAATCACTGACTTACATCTGTTGCTATGAACTCCTCCACATCATTGATGCTCTTGACAGTGATTTCGCCCTGACTGACCATTGGATAGTCATAGGGGTTGGTGGTGATCAGGAGAGCCTCTGGAAGGGTACGATAGATAAACATAGTGTTGTTTGGTGTTTTTTTTCTTGTATCATTGTATCTTTACATTCTAATAATGTAGTAACATACCCAGGAGCTCAGGCTTGTGTCCAGTCATCAGCTGATAGAAGATATGGTAGCTCCTCTCAGCAGACAACTGGAAAGTGACACGGGACTTCTCCAGCAGATCTAAGAGGCAAAAATTCAACTCAAAACTCTGTGTTTACTGTGTTACATTTTAAAAGATTGGTTCATGAACCACAAGAACTAGACCAAATTTCCATCCAGATCAATGTGTACTCACACTATGGCTGGAACTTACATGTTTCAATATCAGCTGAGGCCAGCTTTCCAGAAGAACCAAAGTGGATTCTGATGAATTTACCCTGGAGAGTCATTTTATATGTGGAATCAGTTTTTGTAATTTTGCAACAACAACAAAAAGGCTGAAGATATTGTGTGTTTCACTTACAAAACGAGAGGAGTTGTCATTCCTCACAGTCTTGGCATTACCATAGGCCTCCAGCAGAGGGTTGGCCGCAATAATCTGGTCCTCAAGGGAGCCCTGCAAAAGGAGGTTTGAGTTATATGAGCTGTACGTGCATGTAAACCTTTTTCTGACAATGTCTTTCTTTTTCTAAAAACTAATTTACCTGTATCTTGCCAGCTGTTGCCTCAGCCTTCTTAGCACCAAGAGCTGCAATTGTTGCAAAGTACTGGATGACACGCTTGGTGTTGACAGTCTTTCCAGCACCAGATTCTCCGCTGGGGTATAAGAGACACATTGTGAAGGTTCAGCTTCATCATCATAAAGTTTATAAATGTTTAGCATACAAGTCTGTGTAATACTCACGTAATCAGGATAGACTGATTCTCACGATCTACAATTCAAAATGACATGCTCTATATGAGTTCTGTTTCCATTTAATACGCTTACATCTAAATTTAAAATGTATATTTAGGCTTCTTCTAGCACTTGGAACCTTGGTCTTACCAGTGAGCATGAACTGATAGGCATTGTCAGAGATGGAGAAGATGTGGGGTGGAGCCTCAATCCTCTTCTTGCCTCTGTATCCCGCCACAACAACAGCATCGTACACAGGAAGCCACTTGTAGGGATTCACGACGACGCAGAACAACCCAGAGTAGGTCTGTCATAGTAGAGAGCATAAACATTGTTTCAAATTTTTATGCAGACAATAAATATATTTTCATTACATGACACTCTTTAAAGCAATGTAAAACTTACATAGATCATCCATGATGCAAAACGCTCTTTGAGGTTATACAACACAGATGGCTCATTGAGGTGGGTCATCATGGCCATGTCCTCCATCTTATCGAACTTTGGAGGGTTCCTGGGAAGGATGTCATCTTCTTTGACAGTGACAGTCTGAACAGAAAATGTGTTTGTTTTTTGTTTTTAATTCCCAAGGCACTATTTTATGTAAAGACACAGCAGATGGCTGCTATTACAAACAGGATAAAATAAGCCAAAGAAGATAAACCAAATAAAATTTTTACCTACCTTCCCTCCATCTGTCTCAACGGTGGCTTGGCCACCCTCTTTTTTAATCAGTTTACCCTTGACATACAGTTCATCAGGATCAGTCACAAAGAAAGCTGTCTTGGCATCAAATGGAGTAGTCTGGGCCTCAATCCTCTCCCTCTCTGGCTTCCGGAGGTAAATAGCCGCCGGGCCATACTGCTCCATCTCCGCATCTGTGCTCATTTTGGCACTTTAGTGGTGACTGAAAATATGACAAGTTTACACATAATGTAATAATTTAACTAAAATGACTCAATGAAATGTTTTTTTTTAACAGATAAACATTAAAGATATTTTTGTCTAAATATGCCATCTGTAGTAAACCACCTACTTCACTAAATCCCAGCTGAAAATGACTGGTGTCTTGTGTAACCCCCGAGATGCTATAAAACAAAGTAACAAAGTTTAAATTTAGAAGCACTGTTTTATTGTCAGTCTTATATTTCAGTCACAAAAATAAAAGTTTTTCTTTTGATATAATGATGTTCATTCAACTTTAACCACCAATTAAACAAAATAAAATATATTTACTAGAAATCAGTTAACCAAAATGATTATCATCAAATAATTGCCTCCACTCACCTGTGTCAGGCGCCTGTCAGTTCGAGCCAGCGTCTGGAGCTGCTGCTTATATATGCTCAAGAGTGCATGCTCTGCACAAGCGTGTCGCCCTATTTGGTAAAGTACAGTGTGTTCATCACCTTGTTGCTCAACAGAAATGTGCTCATCACTTATACAGTCAATCTTTATTTATACATTTAACGATATTTCCCCCTAGTTAAAATGTAAATAGAAATGATCTGTGATTAAATTACTCTTTGATTAAAAAGTTTAGAAAACAAACAATACAGTCCATTTAGGAGATCATTTTGTGCGTAAAGTAAAGAATAGAAATTTCTTAGTAACATGTAAGCATATTTTATTCTAAAATGATGAACTGGAAAGTAAATTTAAATATTTAGTTATATATATATATGCTAGTGAGATAAACTACATGAATGCACTTTTTAAATGTATTTATTTTACATATGTTTGAAACAGTATCAATTTATCACCAGAGGATTTCCTAATAGTAATTATTTAATTGCTAACACTTGGCTGTTAATTAATTCCTCAGTTCCTACTATGTCTGTCATGTCTGCACAGTTTACTTAATACTACATAGCCAGAGTGCACAGAATGGTTTGTAAAGTGTTCATTTAAAAAAATAAAGAGATATATTTAAAGATCAGCATTCAGTTGACACACTTTTATTTAATTTTAATATCACAGCCAGCACTGCGTCATAACATTGGAGAAGCGTCAGAATGTCACTGGTGTATAGTTGCAGGGAACACATGTCATAGATATCTGATACTGATGCTCTTTCTGTTAATGTTGGAGGGGTGCTGTATGCCCCCTGAAAATGTAATATTAGAAGAGTTGCCAACTGATATAAAACCAAAAATAACAGCCACGTAAACTAGTGTTATTTTGCTTTTTGTAATTATTTAGTTATTATTTATTGCAGTTAGGAATGAAGATGCAAATTTTGAGTGCAGGGAACAATATAGTAATCTATGTTCACAGTTGCCAGTATCCCCTTAGATTACATACATGGCTGTTGACAGAAGTGACTTATAATTCAACATCTTAACAGCAGATCACAGGGCATTACTGTAGTCCAAAATAAAAACAGCTAAGGCAGGGAGAAATTCCACTGATGCAGAGAGTGAAGGATATATTTGCAGTTCATATCTAAATATATTGATGATGACAACATAGTAATGTGTAATTTCTCTAATACACATGAGCACAATGCTTATTAGATTTACTTTCTACACGTTTCCGGTATCACTTACAAATTTTTTGACCTGTATGTCACAAGTCTATTTATATGTTTTAAGACACTTTGCTTTTGGACTTGGGCATTTCTCACTGCAGCTAAAAATACATAAAAATCAGCCTTCCTGCCCTTTGTTTCTGCACTTTTAGCAGAATTTACACCCATGGCGTCTTTTTCAGAACTGATTGCTGATGATACTGATAAATCATTTCACCTAAGCTACAGGATACAAGTCTCTGCTTGTGCTCAGTCTGTGTTTATCGCCACAGACTTTCAAGTTTATTTCGAGATGTGCTTGTTGTACGCACAGGTTTAAACAGATTGACTCACATGTATGATTGAAAAAAATATATATAGTAGTCTGTGGTTGGTAGTGCACTTGACATTACTTTGATTCTGCTTATGTATTCGCTCCATTAAAATTGCATGTATGAACACCCTCTTTGATAAAATAGGTTTTACTTAAACCTATATTATCCTGCAGGACAAGATGTTAGGGCACAGTTAAAGTCAAAATATACAAAGAAGATCCATATTAGGATTATTGAAATTTCCATTTTCCATGGATCAAACAATATTTCTAAGCTGGTGAAAATGTATATTTCAGAGTTCAAATATAGATACTTATCCTGAATTTTTACTTTTGAGTGTGGAAAGAATTGTTACAACAGCAGAAGCCTGATGCCATTGATGGATTTGTCTTTATTAGTCACCTTGGAGAGTAAAGGCACCGTTTGCCAGAGCAGACGTGTTAAGGGACCGCCCATTTTTACTCACAGAAGTCAAATACCCCTGTTCTGCTTGCATCTGGGAGATATGCTTAAGGTGTCCTTTTTCATTGGTGCCATCTCAGTAATAGATACTGTTAGACGAGTATGGGTTTTTGCTGTTAAAAAAACTGCTGTAGGAGGATGCTGGCGGACAGCTGGTGGATTAAATCACAGAACTCTCACTCAGGAGGTTGAGCTTTGTGTCTGTGTGGGACCTTATTTATGTATGTATTTTTTTATTTATTCCACTTAGTTCCTTTAAAAAAAAAAAACTTTTCACTTGATTATGTTTCGGCACCAAAACTACTTGATAAGTTTTAGGAAGAGATCACGGTTTGGGTACCAATTATCCTTGACAACATTAGGCACAAGATTAATGGCTTATTGCTCCAATAGTGACAAGACGTGCAGAGAACATTTGGTTGCTTTCTCACGGCATCTACTTCTGATGTTTAGGGACTTTTACAGGTCTGACAGATTACCCTGCATCTTGAGAAATGATACTGGAGGGTACTTAGTGCATTAAAATGTGATGCCAGGGGGTCCTGCATTGGCATGTGACAAGCTGGAAATTAAACTGTGGGTTGTAAAGGACCACAAGATGTCATCATAACATGAATCATTAAAAAAGAAAAAAAAGTTACCCCAACATCTGGGT